CAGCCCTGGCAAAGCATCCATTGCTACCAGTTTTCCCTGTGGTGGAATGGGGAAGAGTGTCCATAGCTTGTTCTTTTCTACATGATGGTATAGGAAAGTGATAGCTGTTGATGTCCTCCCCCACCACCACTGAATGCTGCCAAAGCTACACATCTGCAGACCAGATCAAATGGCTCTGCAAGCTGGATATGTAGGTTACTGACCCCTAAATTAATTCACCACAAATTACTAATGGTGGTAGTCTGCCAGTTTTATTCATAATGACGTGGAAATCCTGTTTTTAAAATGTTTACTGATGTTCCCAGGTGTCTTTGGTCTGTTTTGCTTTCTTTCTGGCTACGAGGACTGCAGACCATTAGAGGGAAGAGGCTGCAGGGCAAGCTGAACAGGAGAAAGTCACAAGCAGCTCAAGGTGAGCCAAAGCCTGAAGGAGAACTGGTCCTTTCTAACTAAGAGTTGCTGCAGGCTATTTTGTCAGTGAAACAGAGCTGAATAACAAACACGTGCACCTATGATGCTCACTGAACATTCTGCAGAATAATGCACATAAAACTGGTGACAGCAGCAAAAGAGAAACACAGAACTAGGACTAGGGAAAATAGCAGATTCTAGTTTGAGTTCAATAGTAACAAACCTTAAGGAAAACTCTGATCCTCAAGATGCAAATTCCTTCCAAACGTGATATATTGTACAATGGTTGCATTATCAAGGCTGTAGCTACAGCACAGTAAGCAGTAGAGGTGCACCGATACTTCAGTCCAATACTGGACCGGCACTGATATAAAGAAAATTTACTATATTGGAAATTGGCCATATCAGGCCAATAATTTGTCTGATAAATGGCCCGTGCATGCGTGCAGCTACAGCACAGCACAGGTAGCGAGGAGCACAGCCCCGCATCTTGGAGAGCTGCCTCCAGCTGGTAAGTCTGGTGTGGTGGAAGGGGAGGGGGGAGGGAAGGGACTGGGGGGGCAGATTAAGGCCCCCGCGATGACGGAGGTGTGGAGCTGGGGCTGGGGCAGGGGCTGAGGAAAGTGCTGCCCAGTCAGGGCAGGGTCAGTGTGGCACGGTGCTGCGACCCATCCAAGGGTGGCAGCTCCCACCACTGTGCAGCGCTTGTCCAGGAACCGCTGGTCCGGTGGCTCATCCGGCACTTGCTTGCTTGTGCAGAGCCTCCTGCCACTGCTCACACTGCTCGTCCGGGAAGTGGAGGGTGTGCGCCCCCAGATCTGCGTGGTGCGGGCTGGGGCGGTGCCAAGCTGTTCCTGGCAAGGCGCGGCTGCACTGGGAAAGGGCTACAGTGAATTTGTGGCTGCAG